CAGAGCAGACAACCACATGTAAGTCACTAAAGGCACCAACCTATAGTAGAAAATCACATGTAGTCACTAAAAGCTCCAACCCATAGTAGACAACCACCTGTATTCACTAAAGGCACCAACCCATAGTATACAACCACATGTAGTCACTAAAGGCACAAGCCAGAGCAGACAACCACATGTAGTCACTAAAAGCACCAACCCATAGTAGACAACCACCTGTATTCACTAAATGCACCAAGCCATAGTAGACAACCACATGTAGTCACTAAAAGCTCCAACCTATAGTAGACAACCACATGTAGTCACTAAAAGTTCCAACCTATAGTAGACAACCACATGTAGTCACTAAAAGCTCCAATCCATAGTAGACAACCACCTGTATTCACTAAAGGCACCAACCTATAGTAGAAAATCACATGTAGTCACTAAAAGCACCAACCCATAGTAGACAACCACCTGTATTCACTAAAAGCTCCAACCTATAGTAGACAACCACATGTAGTCACTAAAAGTTCCAACCTATAGTAGACAACCACATGTAGTCACTAAAAGCTCCAATCCATAGTAGACAACCACCTGTATTCACTAAAGGCACCAACCCATAGTAGACAACCACATGTATTCACTAAAGGCACCAAGCCATAGTAGACAACCACCTGTATTCACTAAAGGCACCAACCCATAGTAGACAACCACATGTATTCACTAAAGGCACCAAGCCATAGTAGACAACCACCTGTATTCACTAAAGGCACCAACCCATAGTAGACAACCACATGTAGTCACTAAAAGCACCAACCCATAGTAGACAACCACCTGTATTCACTAAAGGCACCAACCTATAGTAGAAAATCACATGTAGTCACTAAATGCACCAACCCATAGTAGACAACTACCTGTATTCACTAAATGCACCAACCCATAGCAGACAACTACCTGTATTCACTAAAAGCACCAAGCCATAGTAGACAACCACATGTAGTCACTAAAAGCACCAACCTATAGTAGACAACCACATGTAGTCACTAAAACTCCAACCTATAGTAGACAACCACATGTAGTCACTAAAAGCTCCAACCTATAGTAGACAACCACATGTAGTCACTAAAAGCTCCAACCCATGGTATACAACCACATGTAGTCACTAAATGCACCAAGCCATAGTAGACAACCACATGTATTCACTAAAGGTACCAACCCATAGTAGACAACTACATGTAGTCACTAAAAGCACCAACCCATAGTAGACAACCACATGTATTCACTAAATGCACCAACCCATAGTAGACAACCACATGTAGT